GGACTTCCAATAACGCCTCGATACAAATTTTCTGCGAATTTTGCCAACTAGTAGACTGAAATAAGACCGACATTCTACCATAAATCCTAAAATAGTTACACTGATCAAACCGCCCACGAGAATAAACAACGTTGGCAATGCTCCACTCCAGGTAGCAATATTCGTAGGCGCAAGATCGTCAGCCCTCTCAGGTACAAGGGCAGCTGTCCGGTTAGCATTTTGTCTCCTGATTTCCTTATTTTCAACATGTGTCCAAATTCCCGCCTTAATTATACTCTTAAAGTCTTTGACAACTTTAGATCTCCAAGGATATTGGAAAACTAAACCTCTCGGGAAATTTTGTATAATCTGATCACTGATGAAAAAAGTTTTCAGGAGATATTTTCTAGAAAGAAATTCATGTTCCATTTTAATATTGGGCGACGTCCCTACGAACACCGTCTTCCCACACTGTACCACATCCCGCTCAACTTGTCGCTGATGTTCAACCCGTGTAAAGTTCAAATACGTAAATCCTCGGGGGAAGAAAGCATGGTTTGACACGAAGTGGTTCAAATCCCTAAATCCCGGGGTATTCTGTAATGGATGAGTGAGAAAATCGTCTGCTAATTGGAATAAGACAACTAAATATTCCGGTAAACGATGTTGGATACCGGATAGTAATCGATAGCAATTGTCTGAAGCTTTGGTGTCATTTACTTCCGCCAATTCAGTGGTGGAAACATTCACAAATTTAGTAATATTAAATAACTTGTTGTAAAACGAGACAAACTTCATTCCTTCCCAACGTCTGATTGGAATTCTCCTCTATTTAAAACTATCGAATATAGGGGCCACCTATTATTTGCGATTTGTTCGAACTGGTTTCCGCAGCTTAACTGGTCAAAATTTTCAGGGTGAAAAACCTTCCGCGGCGCATTTAATTCTCCGATCATAATCCCGTTATAAGAATTGGTCAAGGTTACCGACACAAGGCTCCAAACTCCTAGCGAGATTCGAAAGAATGTCGCCTTCTCAATGGAATCAGGCATAAAGCCAGACTCGTCAAAGAGCGACGCTAACAGGAACACCCACGGGGAAAAGGATTGTTTCTGCTTGGCATGCAACAAGTGCAGAACGATGGTAGTTACTATGCCGATTGTCGCTGTGGATATAGCCAATACGAGCCAGTACTCGGGCTGAAAGGGGGTAAAATAAAAGTCGAACGAAATATAGGATTCGGTGTAACATGTCAAAAACTGGTATCCCTCGTTTTCTGTGATAATTAGCGTAATAGGGACCTTTTCGGTGGGTAATCTTGTCGAACTGAATTGCTCGATTCTTCTATTCAGGCCACAGTAAGCTGATTTGTGAGACTTCTGTTACCCCGCAAAAATAGGTTTAAAGTTAATTTGTTAAATGCTTTGTTGCTTGAGCACCACAACTCCGTTGGCAATGCCAATTTTCCAACGGCAGAAAGATAACTTTGACCAATTAGGTGAATAGCTGGAAGGCATCTCGTGGTTCCAGTAAATTTCTGTAAAACTTCGGTGCCTGATACAAAACAAATCTCAACAAAGTTTTGACTGGACGGTGCAAATAGTATGAACAGATTATAGGAATATTTTGTAATTAATGAATGAATCGGTAAATCTTTCACCAACTCGGACCTTGGTTTCGTTGTAATAAGTGTAATTTCTCCGTTTGTGTTAACACTAGCACGGCTAGGGAAAAAGGTCGAAAAGTTTTCATAATAATGGGAATATGTTGAGGCAACATTAGTCCAATACTTCAGACGGTTCTTGATTGATTTGAAACACTTTTTGCCGATGTCGGCGTCAAAAATTAAACTTAATTGGCATGGTGATACGCGGGAGGAGATAATATTCAAGGGTAAGATCTTCTTCAATTGATACACCCGCATACACTTGACGGTTTCGTAGGGCGGCATAAATACAGTTTTGTATATCACGGTCCAATCTCGGGTGGCCATTTGGATATTGAAATTCCCAGAATGTATTATTTGTACGTCACAGTTGCGTAGATTCTGCAGCAGATCACTGAAACTAAATGGTTCCACGAGATTAATAGTGTAAATATTTCTGGCGACGAAAATGCTCAAACATAAAGCCGAAAGAGTAAGATTCTTTGGACGCATCTTAATCTGTTTACTTTAACTAATTATTAATTTTGGAGATCAGGTAAGGTGTTAATGAAGGTGTTGAAATATATAATTTTACTACATCTCCAAAATTTTGAGAATCTAGTCTATGCATTTTGATGTTATCTTCTCTAAAAGAGTCAATCAACGATACTCTTCACTATTTCATACTACATTTACCCAGTAAATAGTTAAATATACTTTATTTAAATATTATGTTTATTTTTCTCAGAAGGAGAACAAATTTCGATTTTGGCTACAAACCCGGAACGAAGCTTCACAAATTCTTCACCTCTCACAAGGATAAAAACCCCCCGATAACCTGTGGCATATACAAAATCCCATGTCATAATTGTGAAGCTACATATGTTGGTCAAACCGGAAGAGATCTAAAAACAAGAGTCAATGAACATAAACGAGACCTTAGAAAAATGTCAGAATCTTCGGCTGTAGCACAACATATTTCTCAATATTCATCGCATCAAATTGATTTTGACTCTGCAGTACTGATTCAAACAGAACAAAAATACTTCTCAAGAATATTCAAAGAAGGTCTCTACATCAATGCCGAGAAAACAGCAATGAATCAAAAAGAAGGAATGAGAATCAACCCGATTTGGACATCCGCATTATTACATTTACTGTAACGTAACAACCGGTCTCCATTGTTAGTCGTAATTGTGATCTTCATGATTTGTGCATTCTCATAATATCGGTGTATCTTAAATTACATTTTTACCATCTCCCCTGATGAAGACAAAAGTTTCTTGTCGAAATGTTATGTTTATATCCTTTATTTACTCTACGGAGGAAAACATATACATACTATACAGAATTTTGAATAGGTAGAAACCCGAGAATCCACGGGCACCTCGGAAGTATACCCTGCGAGTTGAGTAATACTTTAACCACCCGAAAATATCTTTCTGTGGTCTCGGTTTGGTTTAATTGGTTGCATTAAAATTGAAAATATTGGCCAAAAAATCAGAGTCATTAAGGTTTTCAATGATTTTCCTGTTTGGTTTATTTTTTACAAGAATTTCAATCCTTTAGATACATATCGGTGTATGAATTTTATAGACACTTGAAAATATTTATTAAACAGTCGTGAACGTATTCATGTAAGGATAGGTTATCTCTCTTTCTTTCTCTCCTTCTAAAACCCTTGACGCGTGGTTTTGTAACAAAGATAATAATTCTAAGTAATTTTTGCACGATATCGTCCAAACATGCGACATTGTCAAATCACCTTGAAATCTCTTTAAAATGGATTATGATTATACGAAGTAAGTAAATGACGCGAAAACATTTCATCAACTAATGACTTTAATCAACCTCCGAGACACATTACGCCACAAAACTTTAAGCTTTACCTCTCAACAAAAATACTAGTATTAAAATAATTAGTTTTCAATAAAATTGGAATCTTTGACTCTTTTCCAAACAAGATTCGCCAAGTGTACCAGTAATTAGCGGAAAGCGTAATGTTAAGTGAAAAAATTAAGAGATGCACTACACAAATTAGCAACAAGTTTTTGTCAAGTCAAGCCAAGTTGAAAATGCCACAGATATCATTGGATTACAAATTGATTTTAAGGCATTCATGAAAAATGGTGGCATCTCACCATCTTCTGTTGATAAGCAACGTCCGTACATGGACACCTTGGGTTCGGATAAGTTTATAAAGGTTCAACTTTTTTTCATAACCTGTAAGGGTGAAAGGCACGCTGGCTAATTTCGACGAGTTTTTTAAAGCCTTTAATCGTCCAGTTGGGTCAAATGAAGTAGAATCCTGGAAGCAGTGTGGATTTTTTGATATCTAATCTACTTAACTTAAAACAGGCAAGTGAGTCGCTGCTGGGTCGGTAACACAGTTGTTATATTAAGTTATTATTATATTAAGTTGGGTACCCGCTTTCCGATAAAGTGTAAATTGATTTGTAAAATTCTAGATCAATCATGCTTTGACTCGGAAATGTTAAAAATAATATGTTCTTACATACATTAAGTGATTAAAGTAAAAACGCCGTCAAAGGTAGATATTTGACCACCAGGCTGCCGCCGTCTAGAAATCCTCAATTTCACACCGCCGAATGGTATCCACCGTCGACATTGAGCTCTTATTGGGAACGTCCATATATTACGCCATCATTTTAATAGGTGAGGGTCTAGGTGTTCATATCTTTCCCGTGTTAAAATTCCCTATCCCTTAATGTAAATATGCGTTAGGTGGTTTGGTGCTATAATCGAGAAGTTTTTATGACGCGATACAAGGATGGTCCCATACGTATTGATTTGTAAGCCACCTAGTCTTGCGAACTCACTATGGGAAAAAAATAATACGGAAATAACTAAATCCCTCTGTGCCGCCATATTTTAATAGTCATATTTTTTTGAAGCATTTTTTGAAGCACTGGTGATAAATCCCTTAAAAATACAACTAACGAAATCCGTTTACTCAAACAAGGGCTTCAGGTAGTAAAAAATGTAACCCTTTTTCCTACACTGCAGCGACCTTCTTCCGTAACCATTTCAGCCTTCTCTTAATTGAAAAATTTTGCACCCTTGGTATCTTTACACAAATACATATTTATTAATTAACCAAGTATACCCTCTCCCGTTGCGAACCTACAATGCAACCTTTTTTCAAGCTAATTAAACCGAGATTGTGTATCAAGCAAATCAAACCAAAAATTATTCTTTCCATTCGGCGGAAATATACGTGTCATGTGACTTGTCATTTTTGGCTTTTTAATATAACTCGCTATACAATCTCGGTGTAGCTTAAAAAAGGTTCCATTGTAAGTCAAGAAATTTCCATCGTCCAATTCCAAATATAGAAAGGTTTTCCTGCAAAATCCTCACATGGAAAACAGCACTCTACCAGACGGCACCCGACTACCCGAGCACAGCACACTTCGCCACAAACACTTAACCTGGACCAGGAGCTCATTAATCTGCAAAACCTGGTATTATTGATACACATTTGGTATAGAAATTATCATTTCTATGACAATTATACAAATAAATACCTAGAAATCCTTACAATTTTTCAGAAACTACATATATCTACAAATAATGGCGAAATGTCTCATCCAGAACCATCCGTTCGTAGTAATTTTGGGCGTTATACTGTTTGCCTTGTACTGTCGAACTGCCGTAGCTCAAGGTCTGTCGTGCATTTTATCTATTTTGTATAAAAGATAAAATTATCATGTTTCCTATTGTAAGAAATTCGACTGGTATATAAATTTACTGATTTATATATCTCCTAATTTTATAGAGGAAGGCCAACTTTGCAAAATTTTAGGGGTTGACACACCCCTAACGATGTGCATGGAAACGGCAAGATGCGATATTGTACCTGTTTTTCTGGGAACATGTTCGTCTGGACTGAAATGTTGCCTCGTCCCTGCGAAGGAAGCTCCCGTGGAAAATTTCAATAAAACCGAAATTAATCTTTGAACATTATTAAGATTTACTATTTTCCTGTAAATTGTAAATAAATCATGAACTTATGATTGATTGAAATTGAATTTCGATAAGTGCATGTACCAGGTGTTTTTTATTTCGTTGTTATCTAATTACAAATGCAGTAATCCAGCCTTGATTCTGGACACCGCTGGAATGCGAATTAGTGCATGTTTTCCTATAATTAATTAAATAATGTTCTTAACCTTGCCGTATATTTTTTAATCGTTTCAAATGATTTTGTTAAACGTTGGTATGGAATTCTTCACGGATTCTAAGGATTTTTTATGGCTGCTAAGGACTTTTTTATGGTTGGCATGGAGTTCTTATCGTTGCTAGGGAAACTTGTTGAACGCTGGTAGAGAATTTTTAAAAGTTGCTACGGAGATTTGCAAAGCTGTAAGGAACTGGGAATAATCGATGGTTGTCTGGTGAAAAAAATAAAATTTACCGAAGTACGGTTTTAAAACAAACCAAATTTTTCCAAAGTTTCAGAATAATGTAGCAGGCCTTACTATGATAAATATCAATGAAAACTTTATAGATTCGGTAAATACAACAAGTATGATTTCCACGTTTTAGCAATATTTCCCCATAAATATTTTAATATGTATTTGGGTAATTGGTGCATCCTTGCATTATATGTATAAGAAACGAGGGAAACAGAAAGATGATATCTCTACAAAAATCACAAGCCAAAGTTATTTGTGTAGATCACTCTTCAACCTTATACGGGAGCGTCCATAAATCACGTGATCGATTAGAGGGGAGGAGGGGGTCTGAAATTTGTCACCAATTATCACGGGGGGGGGGGGGGGTAGATGGTCAGATGTCACGTGACATGAGTAAAGTTTTTTTTAACTTTTATATATGCCAATGTCACGAGAGTTATATATAAACTTTCTTGGAATACCGCACGCACGTTATATAAATTTGATTTTCATTTTGCATATTTAGAAACTTGCTTCGACTTAAAATTCTTATGTCTGACTGACGTATTAAATAATTATTTGCACATGTACATAGGTAGCTCCAATTTGATTAATGATTTAAAAAACACTGGAATAATATTGTTATTCCGGACAACATGATTTAATTTGAGCATCATCCCCTGTCACGTGACCGGTGGGGGGGGGGGAGTAGGGGAAATTATCACTACCGGTCACCAAGGGGGAGGCCGGGGGGTCAAAATTGTCCAAAAATAGATTACGTGATTTATGGACGCTCCCTACCCAGTGGGATGACTGTCGTCTCTTCGGATGTATTATCTCAAATTTGTAACTTATGATGGGGGCTGTGCATAACAAATTTGAGTTTCGATGAATTTTTACTCCTACCCACTCCCATATGTGACCTATATATGGCCCATGTTATAATGAAAGTGGGAAGGATAAGATGCCATAACTCCTTCATACCTCGCTCAAATCGATCACCTGCTTTCTGCACAGTCCCGTGTCCATGTAATTTAATCAAGCTCTGCATTAGTATACGAGATGATTGACATACATATAAATTTTTCGTCCGGGTGAAATACATATATGCGTACATAACGAAACTCCGTAAATATTCGAAAGAAATTTTCGTAAGATTGGTATTTTTGTAATATTCATTATGGGAATTGAACACCATTCTACCCATCAGTTTAGGACACCTGGGCACAAAAATTACACATTTTTGAAGTCGCAGAAATTCTGAAAGCATGGATATTAAGATTTTATTGCTTTGGATTATCTTGGGTTTGTTTTATTTTCTTAATACCAGCAAGTCATATCAAATTGGAATGCAGAAATAAGATAAATCATTGTGGAAGTCCTTAATTAGAGTCTAAAAATTCATAAGTTTCATGTGATTTAAATAAAGGCAATATCAAAAAATATTTTAAGGTAAATATGTTTGTGTATAATTCAGATACACCATCAGAGTTTCTAAACATCTAAATAAGTTAGCATAATTTCGCCCTCTTTTATTTTAATTATTCATATTTACATATCCTTAATCAGAAATTATAAAGCAACATATCCGTCGTAATTAAATTATTTACTTGTCTCATCGTTAATCCAGCATTTTCGTAGTTAAGACCAATATCCCTAAATTCCTGTATATAATTCCTATCAACCTTAATAAAGATGGACATACATGTTTACTAACAATGCGATGTAGCGAAGTGTAATCCCCCGGCTTGGTTGACATTTTTAAAGTATGTGGTCCAAGTCATTACAGCCAAAGTTTCTTGAGGCAGTTTGTGCGATGGTTGGTATTTCTAAAAATATTCGAGGTCGAGGTTGAAAAACGTGTGATTTTTAGCTAGCCGAGGAAGCAAACCCCGCTACCAATCCATTCGAAGTGAAAATTCGCACATTTTTCAACTTTAACCTCGACTATTTTGACAAATACCAACCATCGCACAAGCTGCCTCAAGAAACGTTGGCTGTATTGACTTGAACCACATAATTTTAAAATTTCAGTTAAGTCGGAGGGCTACACTTCATACCATCGCATTGTAAGTTTGGCAAACATCCGACCATAATTACATACTCAGCCACATGCCTGCCCCCAAAAATATACACTTTTTAACCCACTCTTACTCCTCTCTTGGTCCGCAAACTTATCTACCACAATGCCGACCGAGCTTATCTATTTCTGTATTCAAACATCCTTCCGACTTAATCGGGTCTTATGGAAAACTCCCCTCACGTGGGACCCCGTCAAGCGGAAATTTGTGTTTGACCCCAAATCTCCCTTCCGATACCTTTGGTGGTATTTTGTCATCTTTGGCATTGTGCTAGCGGTCACGGCTGGTGGGTCGCTGTATATGATCGTAACGCACATGAAATCTCCCCGCCCTGGCATTCATACCCAGCACCTCATCCAGTTCGCACTCTTCGTCGTATCCGGAATACTAATGGCGGGCGTCGTGACTTTACTTCTCTTCTGGGGCAAATCGTCTGTTACCGGCTTAATTAATGAGACTATAAACATCTGTGGGACCTTAATTACGATGGAAGAAGGTAGGAAGTTAGATCATTGTTCGGTAATAAAATTAACTGTGTTTAATAAACACTGTTTATATGCATATCTGTATATTTACAGAGATGATGACAGTCACCCAAAGTACTACTCGATTCCGCACCTATGCCGATGATATTGCCCGAATTATCGGTGTGACGCCCGGATTCTACAAAGCCAATGGGAAACTTGATATAATTGGTATTCATTTGAATAGTTATGCGATTTAAGAATTTTTTGATGAACATTTATTTCTTTGATAGGAATCATATATCTAAATGCGGCCGTTGGAGCAGTTATCACAATGGTATTTATTGCACCAGTCTTTGTTCTGGCAAGACTGGACGTGGTCGGGTACTTGTTGGACGATTTCGTGGATTATTGGAAAATCGGAGGCAATCCATGGGTACAGATTGCATGCCTGATCCTGCGTCTGATTCTCACATACATCGAGGTGATAGAAGGACAACGGGTAGTTTAATTCATCGTCTGCATTTTTGCCGTGCCTGGTCAACTCGGGGTGGACGCGGTGGCCGTTTGCATGAGGCAGGCGATTGGCATAAGGTAAGAGACTTGTCGTAAGAAATTAAGGTAGTTCAGTTGTTAAAATGGTATTTGGATCCATTGTTCTACAGGGACGGAATTCGTAAATTAACTTGGAAATGGATTCGACAGTACAAACAGATGGAGGTACTCGTTCTTGTACCAGCTGGTCACTTGGCATCGGAATCCTTCCTCCTGATGACGATCGGTCTTGTATTATCATCTACACTAAACTTCGATAAGGATAACGATAAGGTACTTCAATTCGGACATTTCATTAGGAATATATGCTATATACCCGTTCATGGCGGGCGTCACGATCGCAATGATTGTGTCCCTACTACCAATCGGATCCTATGCGTATACAAACTCAAAAGAGGTCCTGAGAATCTGGGACATTGCTGCGAACGAGAGTCAGAACCGCTTAACTGTCAAGACGATACACGGGATGAGACCATTTCGCGTCTACTCGGGTATTAATGAACTGCATTTCTACATGTTGGATGAAACTGTGTTGAGGACGTATGTCGCCAGTATTCTGGATTGGACAATTACCTTGCTGATGACTTTCAAGCAGGCGAGATAATTTGGGAAGATACATATATCGTGACTAAATACATATTTAGTGAAAAAATAAAATCGCTTCAATATGTAAAATATGTATAGATAATTGAGCAAAGTAGAAAATAATTAATGAACTAATTCATTAAGAATTAAGAGAAATTCTGATTCTGCTTTAGGACCGGAAAGTTCCTTAAGTATCTTAATACACTTTAAAAAAATTTTAAGCGACTTTAAAAAATCGCTTATTAATAAATACATACTCGGACCAGGTATTCCCGTACAAGCATTTCCGGTGATAAATCCCAAAGTATTAGTGCTATCTGTTCGAAATTTTTAGGGATGAAGAAGGTATTAATATTGGTTAGAAATCATACCTTCTTTTTCAAAATTTCCTCCACGGGCTTATACAGCAGACATAAGTCGTGACGAAAATTACTCGATCGTGGTACGCGCCATTTTCTTGGGAAAAGTATTTCAGACTTTCCACCGTCGGAGAAAAATTTATTAGAAAAAATGGCCAGATATTTCCTGTACCGAAGTCTGACATCCCATTAAGTATGCGGAAGTCAATAAGAAGTCGTCACCATAGTGTAAATGCCAACAAGTTGGCTGGAAATAGCAAATCTCTGTTTTTTGCCGCAAATAGTAGCAGTTCAAGCCAAGAAATATTTTTGGAGTGTCCTGGAGCCAATAGTTATACCCCTGAACACTGACCCCTCGGGAAATCAACATTGGACCTTTCAACAAGACTCTGTTCCTGCTCACGGTGCAAAATTGTCCAAAAAACCGCTTTGGACGAATTTTCATGACTTTTTTTCATCTCTCGTACGGTGCTCAGCATCTGCAGACCTTTATCCCATAAATTATGACTGGGGGTCAAAATTATAGATGCAAGTATGTTCTAAATCTCACACAAGTGTGGAAGTCCTGAAGTCACACCAACAAAAGATCTGGTCGCTTTTCCCAGGAAAACCGTGCGTGCCGCGATCGAGCAGTCTCCGCCCCGACTTATGTCTTCGGTACACGACCCTGGAGGAAATTTTGAAAAAGAAGTTAAGATTTCTAAACAATATTAGTGCCTTGTGCATCCGTAAAAATGTCGAACAAATAGCACTAATACTTTGGGATTTATCACCGGAAATGCTTGTACGGGAATACCTGGTCCGAGTATGTATGTATTTGCACTCGAAAGAATGCTTTGGGTATCCGTGTAATGCGTATATAAATTTTACACGTATAACGTACAATGCGCAATCCCGACTGCCACGTTTCACGTTGAAAAACTGGAGAGGAATATAAAATCCCACGGCAATCGATAAATATTTTGGTATTGGTAATACCAATACCAACATTTGGTATTGTGTTGGAGGAAAGAAGCCGCGGAGAATGTACAAAGCAAAACGATTCCTACTCAGACGTTCGGCGCAAATATGTTATATTGGTAATTTCGTATAACTTTCTTCATAATTGATATATTTATTTAAATTATTAGAAATTATTTTGCTATCATCCTGCATAATTTATCATTTGTCATTGCTTTACTATGAAAAGCTTTACTACTCTTAATCTTAACTTAACATAACTTAACTTAACTATGAAAACATTATGCAACAAGAATACTTAAAAAACAAGAATCTATTGTATAGAATACGAAGATATTGATATTGATAATTCTTGATAATTTCAACTTAAGTTCGGCTTACTTTTATTCGAGTGTTAAAAGAAAAATTTACAAAAATGCTATCGTGTCACAAATGTCGCAATACTAAAACTAAAACTAGAGAAATGCAAAAATTAGGTAAGTATGTCAATTTAAAATATGTATATCTAATAAGGTTCTCCTATGGCCCAAATAATAGCTTATTAAATGTATTTAACAGTTTTACAAACATAATTCCGCCATCATATATTTTGTTTAGAAATTTATTTCATTCAGCATTCTTTCATCTTAGTTTTCATCTAAAATGTATTAAAATATTCATGTAGCATCGAAACTTTGTAATAAATTACTTTATATCCACAACCATCACAGTGGATAACTATTTGTCAATTTACATAGATCTTTCTAAAATGCCAGGAAATGACTGACAATTTTATGTGACCATTCGACCCTAACCGCTCGCTCTCAAATCCTCCACGAATCGCTTCACCACCGAAACAAAATATGTCTGAAGTGCTATGAAGGTGACAGCACTGATTGCAATGAAAAGCCCAGTCCCAACTTCTCCATCAATTGCGATGACCACAAAGAGAACGACTACTCCAACAGTTGCGAGGGGAAGTGAGATGTAACTCCACACCATCCAAGGAATGATCAGGCGATGCTTTCGCTATTAATGTATAAGAATCATTAATTTAATTAATTCCCCGACAGACTATTGGTTCTGGCAAGGTGCCGTTTTACTCTTAAGATTTCCATCTGCGCACAATATGATTCTTCGATCAATGTGCACAATGCATGTACAAGAGTTTGTTGCCGTTCACATGCTGAATCATTCAAACTCACCGTCCATCACCTTAAATGACCTCACTCGTAACAGATAAATTATTGCAACTGGTCGAAAAGTGAATTATTTTTACACAAAATTCCACCATTTCACTTCGTAAATCTTATATTGTGCCCATTTTAGTTATGCAAGCTTTGAACCCTGAACTCAAGCAACAGGGCTGAAGTATGCTTGTCTATTCATTTGGTGAGAAAACATTAGCTAATTAAATGGAGAAACTCCACTTACGACACGATAACCTTGCACCATCAGACAAGCCAGAATCAGATACACGGCCGCGAGAAACATCTGGATGAAGGCCAATGTAATGTAACGATTCGCTAAAAAAATTATGATTTTGTAGGCAAAACGCAAAACAGATAGTTCTGCAATATGGAGAAAGAATTGTGCAAAAATACGTACAATGTCCTTGTTTGAAGAGCTCCTTAGTTTACTCTTTATAAATTCCGATCGAGTATAAAACAATGACAGTAATCTAAGTAGAATTAGGGAATAAAATTTTGAAATAAGTGCAATTTTTCATGTTTTTTTTATAAATGGAGAAAACTTACAATATTCAAAATTCCGATAACAAATGTCCCTTCTCCTATCGGGAAGCAATCCAAGCAACATGTCTGCGTGGACATTGTTTTCACAGTGCAAATCACCAAAACGCGAAATCGAATTAGATTTGCACGTTCAGGTTTGCCAATGCTATACAGTTTCGGTAATACATATATAATTAAATTATGTATGTAGGTAATCAAAAGTATAACTAAATATTAGGATTGACCAGTTTTGGTCTGTAGAATTTACGGCAAAATGCAATGATTTTTATAAATTAGTGTCCCTCAATTTATGTATTTATGGTCAACTTAAACACTCCTGTCTCATCGTAGAATTAATGTGAAACGAAGTATGTAAATATGCACGTAGCTATTTAGAATTTTTGCAGAAATTTGTGTATTTACTTGGCCGAACAACTCAAAATTCGACTTGAATGAAGGTATATGAAGTATAATTGTATAATTTACATATTCATGCATTTATTATTCATTTGGGTATAGCCTTATTTTCGCAGAAAATGGGTTTATATGTTATTAACAAGATATTATGTACTACATACGTACATATTTATGTATGTACATAGTTCGACTACGAATACATGTGCACGTGTATAAGCATAAGAATAAATTCTAAACACTTTCGTTACTCTAATACCGTTCTGTGCTAACAATGGAGGTCTCCCAACGTATGCTCACAGATTTGGACCAAACTAGCATAAATCGATCACAAATATGATTATGGTGCATCTAGAAAGTATTGAGCATCGGCCAATGTTAATAATACTAAAAGGCTAAATGGCCGACCTCTCCATAAGTAATAACATGTAAAGTTTCGAAATTAATTGCACGGTCATTTCTTGATGGATTTTCGAAATGGCGCCCGTTTTGGAAACCTTGGACTTTGCGGAGAATTGCTTCATATTTTCAGATTTTTTAAATTAGGCCCCACCCCCTCTAAATCCAGGTCACAAGGTAAAAAACAAGTAACACTTCTTTATCGGATTTTAAAATTTTACGACTGGATTCGACGGATCTGGGGGTAAATTCTTGGTGGAAATAGTCAGGTCATCATATTCAGCGACTATTAGGGCGCACCCCCTCCGTTGGTGTCATTGGGGGGGTGGTCAAATGTCAAATCAGCACATTTAAGGTAGCAAAAAATTCTCCCACACCGTCGTTTTTGAAATTCAATGTCGCCAATACACGTAGTCTTACCAAGGCCCTCTGTGTGAACGACATCCCATTGTCATAGACCCCATGGCGACAGGGGGTGTGGTTATCGGCGCCTCTGCCAATACTTTACCAATCCACGCTATGTGACATATTATTTTTCCCAGGATGGTAATGAGATTTCAGTGGCATATTTCAAATTTAAATATGCCACACCCCCTGTGGGTGTGGCCGTCACTATCCAGTGAATCTACTGAAACCTAGTCATGTGACATATCAATTTTCTCAGCTCGCCAAGGGGATTTCAGGTATGTAGTTAAAATTTAGTAAACCACACCCCCTGTGGGTGTGGCTGTCGCTACACAATGAAACTACTCTAAGCTGATCATGCGACATATCAATTTTCTCAGCTCGCCAAGGGGATTTCAGTGGTATAGTTAAAATTTTTAAAGTCACACCCCCTGTGGGTGTGGTTGTTAGCATTCCGCCAATCTACGTAACCAGGGTCATGTGACATATCAATTTTCTCAGCAACTCAATAGGATTGCAGTGGTGTAATTCAAATTTGAAAAGCCACACCCCTTGTGGGTGTGGTTGTCAGCCACTTCTCGAATTAAATGAAACCAAACGATGAAACAGATCATTTTTCATAGATTGATCAGAAAATTCTAATTGAAAAATTGAAATTCGGAAACCAAACAGGCAAGCCCTTAGCGGGCAAATAAATTACGTATTGCGCCACTAAAGTTGTTCTATTCATTAAAGGAATGTATGGACCTCATCTTTAAGCCACACATGTATTTGCTTAGAAAAATGTGTAAGGGTCCTTCGCAGGAGGGTTTTTAACATAAATTTGTGTCTCTTAATTTTTCCATATTCCATGTACTCAGATGGTGATTTTGAAATCTGTTCATCTTCGAGTGTTTTTACATTCATCATGTAGATTTTATTTATTTGTTTAATTTAAGTTACAGATGACAGATTATGTTGAGTTAAGAAAATACAGATTTTTAACTATAATAAAATCTTCATTTTTTAAGAAACCGAACGGAGAATTAAAAATCTTCAATTGAATACAAAGACGAGAGGAAACTAAATACAAAAATAAATAAATTGAAAACCTTTATGCATGGAACATTAAATATAATTTCTCGCCCAGCCAACAATTCTTTGTGTTTTCTGCCTCAATTCGGCCACAATTTTCGACCTATTCGGGATCGATTTCTTGACGTCCAGAAATCCCGAAGAAATCGGTGGGAAATGTCCGCAGAATCGTACAGATTTCTTGACGATTCGTCACGACTTTTTATGCCGAATTCTGTACGAATTCTTTGCGATTCTTTCTCGATTTCGTAATGATTTCTGATAGAAATCCTAATGAATTTTGTACGAATTCTGCCCGAAATCACTACGATTTACATTTAAATAAAAAATTAGATAAATGATTTGATCATTTAAATTATTTTATTACTTTTATGACCATAACAAAAAATTAATTAATTATTTGTAAATTAATTCTGTGATGATGGCGAGGGCAGGTTGTTGGTGACTGGCTGTTTCCTGTGAAATTAAAAGAGGTTTTAAATATTTTGCACAATATAAATATTCATAATAGCAAAAAACATAAAAATTTCTCACTTGTTTCTTTTATACACACGATCACCGGCCTTAGTCAACTCCCTCGAGATTCCGTCATCAATTTTTGAGTGGTCAAGTGTCAATGGGCTCATCAGATTTGCCGCACCCCCTAATAATTAAAAAAATAGTATAAATTCAAGGGAAGAAATCCATTTTAATTATATACACATATGATTCATTCTATCTATTCATACTTACTGTAAAGGACATCTTTGATATCCGCCAACGTAGAAAACGAAAGCTTTTTCTGCATTCCTTTTAGACTATACATGGCCAATACGTCGTCGGTCATCAATTTTTTCAACATCTTGCTAATGACATCGATTTCCTCGTATCCTCTCACTCCTCCAGAGACGATGGTGATCTGAATACCCCAAAGCACAATTACCACAAGCCAAACGAAATAAAGACGGATTAACCTTTCTACAACATTTTACAAAATCAAATATTTACCAGGTCAGCTTTTGCTACGCCAGACGACTTTACCATGTCATTTAGCTTGTCCAATTCCACTGTATTTGTAAGAGGAAACGTAAATTCCTGAAGTTCCATCGAAATCGTTGTATTGGAGGCAGAGCGACCTTTCCCTCCATCGAGAATTGTGCGCAGAATTTGACCTTGTTCTGCTAATGCAAGTTGAATTCCCTTGACCATGCGCAGCACTGAAATTAAAATAACCGAAATTTTATTGAGATATTCTTTGGATAATCGAAATACTAGAAAATCTTAAAAAGCTCACATTGAGTAATTTCGCAGGGATCCGTCTGAACCTCCTTCACACCAGTGTCAATCGCTCGAGAGACGAAATACACGACGTCTTGATCTTGTGTTACAGAAAACGCCTCTCTCGACAAGTTTTCTTCTAGAGTAATGTTGACGTCGCTTGGAATAACACTTCCTGACTCATCAATTTCGGGTGGCGTGGGAAGAGAAACCTGTCGTTTTGATTTCGATGCCGACATGGCGTTTCTTTGTTCTTCAAAATCCGAAGTATAGGTTGCTGCTTTCAAATTTTGGCGAGCTTCGTTGTAGCTTCCTGAAAAATTGGACAAAAATTCAATGGTTTATAAAATTATGAATGTAGTTTGGAATGTAAAATGGAATATAAGGCAAATGACATGTGAGCTTACCGTACGCATTTCCGACGATCAGAGCTTTGCATTTTATCCACGTCTCGAGATTCGGTTCAGCATAACTCTTAACAAGTTTATTTACATTATTCGGTGGGGGTGGCCAATAACAGACTTCTCCAACCATCCACGGCTTGGCAACAACGGCAACAGTATCATTTTCTTCAGGAAATTTTACAATTTGGAATTCCATTATTTAACTACAATGTAAAAGGGGGAACACAACAGTTTTTAAATTGGATTCGTTTAAAACAACACACTTGTAATTAATCTCGGAGATAGGGATTTGTATTTCACTTGACAATTTTGACAAATCTACATTAATTGTTGAGATAAGTGAAGAATCACAAGGGTAGGTAAACGCACTTTCAAAGCCACACAATTTTCGACAGACTACCGTCACCTCTCCGGTTTTTTCTAAGAACTTTTGCGCGACTGCAAATTGTCGGTTAGCGAAACAAAATGTACCGTTATGAACATTAGGTTTTAATGTAAAGTTTTTATATTTCACAGCACTATAACTTCCGTCAGATTGGATTTTTGACAGTACTGAAACTTCTACTTTGTTCACAAAAGGCCCCTGCACTACAGAATCTTTTTCAATTAACCGCCTGTGAACTTGAGCCAAAGAACCAAATGATTTTCGAATTAATCTCTTAATTTCACCAAGTTTATTTTCATACTTGAAGGCACTAAATGTGTCTAATCCACCAAGTCGACGGACATCTGTTGCCAAATGTATTAGTCCATGAATGTTGTACGAAATATTCACTTTTCCATACAATATTTTAAATTGGCTAACAAAATAATGTAATAGAGAATCAGCATAAGTAATAAGTTGCTCTTTTTGTTTTGGTGAAGCCAAAATTCGGATTGCAAAGTTGAGACACAAAAATAATTGGTAATGTTGTTCTGGTAAATGTTTCTTCAAAGCCAAGGGACCCGTATAAAGAAGAAATGTACGTAATTCAGTTGCTTTCCACCTGTCAATTTCTGAGAGTGGTCTATGTTTCCGGTTGAACTCTACAGGTAAACACTTGCCAACTTGTACGAGTTTTTTTGATATTTTTAAAATCACTTTCGGCCCTAGACGAAATACTTTAACTTTTCCACTTGTCCACAGTTTTACCAACTTTTTTGTAACTCCTAAGCAAATCAAATGCATGTATTCATAGGGAAAACTTTCTACCATGTCGAGGGGAAGCTTTTCTAAGTCACTAATTCCATTATGATGTTTTTCTTGCACCCGTCCTCTAAAAGTGTCATTTGTTCTTAATTCGGCATCCGTTTTTAACATAACCACCCGGTTGTCAATATATTTACCCTTAACTATGCACTTTCCACAACCATAATAACCGGTATGATTTTTAATGCTTGTAATAAACGCACGAGCAGGGGCGTCACAAATAAATGCTTCTATTTGAAAATTGATTTTACGGCTATTGTAAATAATTCCATTACT